TTAATATTCATATAAGTTTTTATTTTTAAATTGCAGGTGACATATAGGAGTAAGAAGGGAAACTTATCTTCACGAATAGTCGAAGACAGAGAATTGAAGAAAGTGGCAAAGGAATGTGTTTCTTTACGACCAAAAAAGCTTCTCTCTTACTACCTACAACATTCTATTTCTGCCCAAAGAAATAACCTTCTTTTTTATTTTTGTCTATATATTTGTTAGAATGGAAACAAAGATTTGAAATCCAGAACCAAATCACTAGATTTCGTCTGAAATTAAATATTCCTCTGATTCTAAATATAATACCTTTTTTTAGTGTAAATTACACTATAAAAATGATCTTATATTTAAAAGCGGAATGAGTATATTTTCAACGTCATTGCTTCATTCGCATGCAATAAACCAGGTTATATATATGTATATGTATGTATGTATGTATATGACTACGACCACACTATTCTACGTACCATTCTAGGATGGTTTCGTATAGTATAACAAAATACTATAAATTTTATGATTTATGAAAAGTCCCCGTTTGATATTAAAAAGCTAAATACTACATCCGATCTTAATTATAAGAACTAGTTGATTAATTTGAGAAAGTTAAGAAAGTAAGTTAAATTAGTTATTTGTAATACATAGACGTTGTCTTTCTAAAAATATCATTGCTAATTAAGGGTGTTGGTGAGAACTATTATTATTATAAGGACTATTTTGAAAAAAATACATAAATATTAGAGACAAAATAGATTGAGATCTTATATTTATGATCAAAATCAAAGTTAAATGAGATCTTATATTAAAAAATGGAGATAGTATTGACAACTTACTCGGGATCTCTTGATCCAACAATAATAGCCTCACTCTAAAAATTTAAACTGAGTATTTTAAATTTAAATTTGAGATAATTAGCATATTAAAAATATTATAAGCATCTTAAAGGTAGTTGAGATGGATAGAGATTTTATATCCTGATAAATTTTAGAGATACCATGTAAATTGGATAATATCTTAAAGAATTTAGCATGGGATAAAGGTCAGATCACAGACTGGGAAGAGTTTCACGAATAAAGTGAGAATAGGGATCTAAAGTTACATGTGAAAGTACAACAAAAATCCTGAATATGATTTCACGTGATCCCTGGGTAACTACGCAAGTTTGTTTATTTTTTATTTTTTGGATTACTCCATCCGGTATTCTAAGGAAATAGGCGTCTTTCAGTCGTGACAACGTCCCCAGACTAATTCGGATTCGGGGGCTTGCAAGGATCCATACGGACGGCGCCCCCTGGCCCCTTGGAGTGCTGCGTTCCCACATCTCGAACTCGAGATCCGTAGTTAAGCTAGGACGACCCCAACCAGTCGACCTAACTCCGCGGGGTTGCAAGTTTGTTTGTTTTAAATGTCTATTAAGAGTCGATCGAGGTCTAGATATTAATAAATTATGTGCACTAATTTGATTTATTATTGAAATCACGTATAATGGATCAGATATATTAAATGTTTATATTAAGCTATATGCTTTATTGGTATTGGAGCATATCCACGAAATATATAATTTAAAAGAAAAAATTGATGAAAATTTCCTGCTATAAAATTTATTATACAAATGTACCTAAAGATTCATGTTCCTGAGCGAATATAGCTTTTCTTTAAATATTACCTCCAGTCCTAATTATAAGATTTTATTTGTAGTATATAAACATAGTTTTATAATTAGAACCGGAGGTCATATATACAGCATATATTTAGCTATCTGCAAATATGTTTCTTTTACATATGGTTAAAATTAGGTTGTGTGCAGTTGAAAAATCAGAGATAAGTTGCGCCTAGATTCTTTAACGAATTTCAGGTATATTTGGGCAATAAATTTTATAATGAATGATTTTTTTTAAAATTTTTTTCCAGACTTAGATGTACATAAAAATATAAACAACTTAATTAAATGGGTTCGGAATGGAGACTTGAACTGCTTAGCAGATACGTAAAATCACACTTGGCTCTTTGTTCTCGTGTTTTAGCGAGGATACATGTGATCACACTTTATTTTTATTTTCACCCCTAAATCAGTATCTTCCAACTCAAGATTTTGTCGGCTTCTTCCGCACATAAAAATGTTCACCTAATATTTTGTGTGTACGTGTATAAATTTTGCTGGACAATCGTTGTTGTCATTGTTTGAAGGCAGTGCTTGTTATAATGTGACTGACCCACGTTTTTTCCCCCAAAATCTTTGGGTCTGCTCGGATATACAGTGAACAAGCAGCTGGATCATGAAATGGCAAACCCCTACCTGAAGTAACACGCACATGGTGGGCTATTATGGGACTATAGATTTAAATCCTACGCTTAGGGTTAGTTTGGTTTATGCAAACAATATCTAACTAACAGGGATTGAGTCTAACAAAAAAAAACTAATTTCTCGTAACGTAACAAATAAAGATTCACGTTTCTATTGCAAAACATGGTTATATTTAGTATCCAACAGTACTTAACACTTTATAAGATTACATTTTCTTGGATAGAATATTTTAATGAAATAAAGATAAAAATTAATGAAGTAGAATTACATTTTGTACGAGATTGAGAGAAATAAAAATTTCATACTTCCTTTTCTTTGTATCATGAGGATTTAGCCGGCCAAATACACACACAACTCGTGAGAATTTCCATAGCGCATCCTATTTTTACCCTGAACCAGCATTGACTACTTAAAATGTCGCTGTATTAAAATCAATGACAAGGCCAAAGACTATTTGATCTAGTGACACAAGTCGTGTGGCACGAGGTCTAAGGTTTTATCCCAACTACATCTAAATGCGACAAAAAGGGATGGCATGAAGCTATTACAATGATGAAAAAGTGCCAACTTAGTGAAGTTGGAGAAATGAGTCAATCAGGTCAATTGCTTTATAATTTTGTGGTATGAAAGTTCTCCCATAAACAAGTAATTGCACGTTTGATCTCATTTATAAACTCAATATAATGCATGTAAGAGCATGATCTCTTTGTAACTATAAGTATGATCTCTTTCTAATTATAATGAGCACATGAGTTATTCTCGTTAGATGAAAAATAACCAAAAAAGAGAGAAGATATTTACATTAAAGAAATGGTGAATCCCACGACAAGAAGTTTGAAATGAAATTATTAAATCCCAAATAAAGAATTCCTACAAAAATTTGTTGTTATTTATAAGTCTAGTGTTGTAAAAACTCATTACAGTATTGCATCAAATCTGATTTGAGATTTAATAATTTCAAATCTTTTGGAATTTTTCCTTGAACAAGAAAAAGAGAAGCTAGGGAAGGGAAGCTTTCGGCTTGTTTGGAGTCCCGTTCAAAATGAACTTTTAAGCAAGTTCACGTAAGTTGAGATAAAACTTTCTTGACATGTTTATCTCGTATTCTATAAATTACATTTGAAAAGCTACTTATAATGGGTGTTTAGATGGCATGAGAAGTACTTTTCAAAAGTACTTTTTTACAAATCGAGATAAAATCCTCTATATATTTACTTCGTATACTATAAAATCACTTCTCAAACTATGATTAGGTTTCCATTCCAACATCTCCCAAGTCAATCTAAACAAACCCTTTGCCGGGAGGCGAGGAAAGTCGTTACAAACGCATCCAATTTCTGTTTCACAAAAAACTGCTATTCGGCCCAATTGGCTCAGAGGCCCGTGCCTTTGAGTCGTAAAGGGCAGCGTTTTTGGAGGCGCCTTGGCCATCACAATTCAGTGATTCACAGCACAAAGGCCAAAATATGTTCAAGAAAACAAGGAGGTTGCCTGTCACATGTTCACAACAAACATATTACTTAAAAGAAACTGTTCCCTTACCAATATTTTCTTATGCATAAAGAAATACAATAAAATAAGATAAATGGATTTGTAAATATCAAATAATATTTTTATTCTTAGTCACCAGTTTCATGCCAGAACAACCATAATTGATATCTTGAATTCAACTAAAAACCTTCCGATGTCAACACCTTTTTAAGTATAAATTCTGTATAAATAAATCTAGAGAGTCATTTTCCATTAACGATTCCGCAGAAATCAATCCGGCAGATGATACTATCAAATATTACATAATTAGAAAAATAATAACTAAGTTGAAAAAGGTTGAAAAATCGCATTAAAATACTGGGAACCGTATCTTCAGTGGGCGAAGGGAAAAGGACGGATAGGAATCATAGGATGCGCGGCCGCATGAGACTACGCACGTTCTGTTTGAGGAATGCTTGCCGACCAATATATTTATTATGTTTCTCTGGTTTTTAATATAAAACCTATTGAATTAATTTGATTAGATTAAGAAAGTTAAGTAAGTTAATTAATTATAAGAATTATGATATGATTTTCTTAAAATACTATAATTATTTTTTTTAATATTTTTTTTCCTCTTCTACTTGATTATGGTTAAGGGAGTATCCATAAGGTAATTTAAGAAAAACTAATAAATATGAGAAATAAGTCTGATATTTAGAATTAAAATTAAATCAATAATTAGGTTATATATTAAGGACCAGAGGAGTATCATTTTGCAGACATATGACAGCGATTTCTTATACTTATATATAATACCACATTTAATAGTTAATTAATTTAAGTAAATTAAAAAATTAGTTAAGTTAGTTATTTGTAATAAATATGTATTATCTTTTTTAAAATATCATTGCTAATTAAGTTTATTGGCTACAACTATAATCATTATTATCTTAAAAAAATAAATAAATATAAAAAACAATGTGAATTGGGCCTTATATTTAAACTTCTTATAACGGTACGCAGTAATTTCAAAGAAGTTGACGACACTTTTGACCACGATGGCCGGTGTCATAATATTCTCATATTGATAGGTACCCGAAACCCAAAACCACTATGCTTCCCCCGATTTTCGCCCCAAAAGTACATATTACTTTCTGGAGTTTAACAAGGTTGCTTGTTACTTGGACCTAGCACTACTTGCCTACACGTAACCCCGAATGATCATTACGCCTCCGTATAAATTCAACCAGATTCATTCTGCTTTCCCAAAGCCAATCCGCACAATCTAGCAGTCATGTCTGTGGAGATTGATCACGCCATTGACGATGAAGCTTCTCGCGAGCTAATGGATGAAAAGCCGACGGGCGATTATGGCTTCAGGTGCCTCATTTTTTTGGGTTCGGCAACTGTTTTATATTATATTCAGAGATTCTCAAACAGTCACACTTGACTGGTCTTTGCACACCAACTACACTCCTTCAAATCGGCTGCATGCATGCAAGGTTTTTAATCCCAGAGTGTTACTTGAAAGAATTGACATTGCTAATGTGCGATACTATTTGGCTTTTAGGTATTTGATTGTTCGCCCAGAGAATGGTGGCATAAGGGATTTGCTAAGCTACACTATCAGGGGTGACAAACAGAGTTTTGAGAAGTTTTTGGAGACCAACTACGATGTTAAAGAGGGACCACCTGGTAGTCGTGACATGGATAATGATGATCACAGATGGGTTATTATGGTTTCCATTGTGGTTCGCAAGATCATTGCTCTTTTGGCCAAGCCTATGCAGTGGACTGGCTGCTTGGTTGACTTTCTGTTGAATCTTCTGTTCCAGAATGGAAACTTGCTTGGTCTACTTTACAACATCATCCGTGGTACTGCGATGTTTTGAATGGTTATTTAATCTTGTGCTACTCACTGTCATCTCTGTTTCTGGCTACCTGAACATGAATCTCTGTATTCTTGCAACTAAAATATTTGTGGTTAAGACTAGCTGTCTTTGAGTACAATGTCTTCTGAACTGTGAAGAGAAAAAAAAAGATTTCAAGATTATCAAACAGTGCTCGCCGCTCTTAACCTGTGACGACCTTGTAGAAAGCGAAAATTTTGTTGAATTGCTATTACTTACAATAAGTTATTTCGACCCCAAAAAAAAAAGTATTACAGTTAGTTATATGTCAAAATCGTAAAACTCTTGGCATAATTAATTGACCGTTGTAATTGGTTTTGAACAGGTAAAGTGGTGGTACCGCGGAGGGACACAGACACTTTTATCAGCACAATTGGTCACTTAGATGGTAGGGTTGATCTTTACAGGGACCAAGAGTTAGCGAAAGCAAACATTAGTGGCGGGGATTCTATACACAGAGAGAGCATATTTAAGCCAGAAATGGGAAACAGAGCTTTAATGGATCTCTGCATGATGGCTTCCAAGCTGGCGTATGAGAATGCCAAAGTCATCAAAAGTGTTGTGAACCATCACTGGAAGGTAAGTTGCTCCAATCTCTTTGAAAGTTACAATTTCAGTACACAGGGTACTTAGCCATATACTTTAGAGAAGAAAGTAAATTTATTTCTTTTGAATGACAGATGCACTTTGTGGATTTCTATGATTGCTGGAATGGTAAGATATTATGGGAGGCATGCTAGAATGCTGTGCAAAAAAATTCACGAGTTACTTGTATATCGTTATGCCTTATGCTAACATTGTTTAGTAATCTTTCTTTCTGTGTATGTAAATGATAGATTTCCAAAAGGAGTTGTCCACCCAAGTGTTTATTTTCTGTAACAACATCGAAGATGCAAACTTGGTAGCAGTCAGCTTTAGGGGCACTGAACCTTTCGATGCTGATGATTGGAGTACTGATTTTGATTACTCCTGGTATGAGATCCCAAACTTGGGAAAAATCCACATGGGGTTCCTGGAAGCCTTAGGCTTAGGCAGCAGAATCGAACCCACGAGCTTTTACAAACACATTCAAAGGAAAAATGAGAAGTTAAGCTGCTCAAATGCGTCATCAAACAATGAATCTGATTCAGATCAAGGTGGATGGGAATGGGATCATTCTTGTGATTCTAAGACACCATTGAAGAAAGATGAGAGAACTGCATATTATATCGTTAGGGAGAGACTCAAAAGCTTGTTAAATGAGCACAAGAATGCAAAGTTTGTAGTTACTGGGCATAGCTTGGGTGGAGCTTTAGCCATATTGTTTCCAACAGTGCTGATTTTTCATGAAGAGACGGAGATAATGGAAAGGCTTCTGGGAGTTTACACATATGGCCAACCCAGGATTGGAAATGAGCAACTTGGAAGGTTCATGGAAGCTCATCTGCAACATCCTTTTCAAAGGTACTTCAGGATCGTCTACTGTAATGATCTTGTGCCGAGGTTGCCTTATGATGATAAAACCTTCTTGTACAAACATTTTGGAGTGTGCCTTTACTATAACAGCTTTTACATTGAACAGGTAGGTATTTGTTTTCTATCTTCCATTTCCTAATTTAGTTTGTTGTTTTTGGTATGTCATTCTTCTATCTCAACACACAGACCCATATTATATCATCTTTGCCTTGTTTTTCGTGGTTACCAGCTTACCATGACGCCAAGTCCTAGCATACACTTTTTTATTCTAACTTCATTAAAGTGAAAGCCACCTAGTTTCAGTCCTAACTTTGTTGAATTTTTAATTCACTTTAGTAGTTGAAATGACATGAGTTCATTTTGTTTTATGAAATATTATTGCATGCACTTGGTATGCAGAAGATAGATTGATTGGATTTGTTTATAAACAGACAAATACGTATGCAAGATACATATTTCAAGAGATGAACTACTAGTGTGAGTTTGATGTATTGTATAGAGTTTGAGAAATGAGCTGCACTATTCAATGGGACCTGCAACTACTTGGTTCTGTTATGATTGGATTATTGATCAGTTTTTGTATGCTGGATCTAGAAAATTGTGTTCTTTAAGGTGCTGATTTGTTTTCCGTTTTTAATTTTGGTGGGGCACCCAATTCTGAAGAGATTGAATGAGGAGCCGAATAAAAATTTCTTTGGAATGAGACGTTTCATACCAAAACATCTGAATGCTGTATGGGAGTTAATGAGAAGCTTAGCAATAGGCTACATTTATGGACCGGACTATAAGGAAGGGTGGTTCCGCATATTTGCAAGAGTACAAGGATTGGTTCTTCCTGGTATTTCTGCACATTGTCCCACAGATTATGTCAACTCCGTAAGACTTGGACAGGAAAGCTCCATTCAGATGTCTTGTTTCTAGGGACTGACTTTCCGTCCCTTGCCTTGTCTCATGAGGAATCCTAAACATCACACATGAGGGGGAAAGTAGTCTGTTGTTAGTTATTGCTATGTATTTTTCAGTTTTTTGCAGTTCAGAACTGTCAGATATTTGTTAATATTGTTGTAACCGAGTTAATTGAGCAATGCCATTTTATAACGAGGGTTATGGTCTGTTTGGTACGATGGAATTGGGCCACATGAAAATGAAAATGATTTCCATCACCATGTTTGTGTTGATAGGATGGAATCGGAAAAATTTCTAATTCCTCTTTCATCAAAATTGATGGAATTGATTTCCAATTTACCGCCCCAAGTTTTACAATTTCACCTCCCATAAATTCATTTTTAATTTGAAACCTCATATCAAGCATGTTATCAAATTCATCCATATCCGCATTAATATTAGTTTTAGTGTACCAAACGAGTAGTTTGGGATTGATAATGTTTTTCTCCTGTAGACAATTTTTTTATAAGTTTCACATTATATATATTTGTTAATCACATTAAAATGATGAATTATGTTAAATACCTCGTATTGAATATTGGCAGTGACTATTTATTAACTTTTTGAAAATTAAGCAGCCTTATAATTTCTTTCATTCTGTTTAAAACTTAAGTGGTTATTATGCATACACAAATACATGCATATGTAACTTAAAGTGGTTTGCATGAACTTCATATCGGATGCTTCTGTTTGTTGGGTCAGAACTTTTCATGCTGTGAACTCCGTAATGGTGCTATTTGTTTTTTGAACAAACTTATTCATGCTATAAAAACCACAACCTAATTAATAGAAATGGGGTTAGCGAGAGTGATTAGTTTGAATTTTTACTGGAAGAAGTATTTATATTTAATGTATAACAATACCTCAAATAGGATTACTTTAAATGGTATCTGCGTTCAAAGGGGAAAAAAAGACAGCCCCCTTTACCCACCTAAGTACCCCTAAAAAATTGATTGATTGATATTCAATTGATAATTAATTGATGATGATCGATGTTAGTGATAATTCACAAAATAAGACAATTGATTACGTCATAGTTGTTGCTTTGGCGCCGTGAGGACTGAGGAAAACCCCACAACCCCATGCTTTTTTTTTTTTTTTCTTTTGGGAGAGTTATCATGAGGTTTCAAGAAAAAAAATCTAATTGTCAAGAAGTTCCAATGACAAGTGACTAATATGAACATATTGTTATTTTTTTATTATGAAACTTGCCATTGCATACCTTTCAATTGTCAATGAAAATCCCTTTATTAGGACCTGATTATAATTGGGAGAATTATAATGAGGTTCTAAAAAAGAAAAATAATTACTAAAAAATCCTAATAATAATATAAGTAACCTGTAATGACAAATTTCAAAATATAAAATAACAAATTTTAAGATTTATTTTATAATTTTTTTTTCAGACCTCACAATAATTCTTTCTTTGTAATTCTTCCTTTTCTTTCTCATTTTCTTGGTCATATTAGAGTTCAAAATAAAATTCTAAGGCAGTCTCTTTGGGTAAAGCCCAAAATCTGAAAAGTCATTTTAAAAAAATGACAGCGGCTAGTGGGCCGTTTAACCCAATCTGATTAATCACCGGGTTAAACGAATGGGCATTTCTTGCGCCAAACGAACGCTCTGCCCGCGTTCTTTTCGCCCCGAAAAAAAAAATAAAAAATCTGGGCGCCTTCCGGCATTTGCCGCGGTGTAGTTGCAGAGCGCTGAGTCGCAAGGCGGGGAGTCGCCAACCATCCCAGTGTTCAGGTATCTCATCGACACGCTGTAGTCTTGTCTGGTCCCTTCTCCGTTGTAGTACGACCAGCTCGTGAACGGCATGAGGCCTCCCAGCAGGTGGGGGAGGGACGAATTTGGCTTAATCACTGTAAATTTTGCAGGGTAAATGAAGACTCTTTGACTTGTCTTTTATTCATGGGGGAGGGGGAGAGTCTGGTTTTTGTTTATATGTTTGTATATTGTAGTGTTTAGTTACTTAAATTTTCGGGTTTCGCTGACATGGTTACGGTTTATTTATTTCAGTTATACTAAGCAATACTGATGTTGTGAAGACAATAGTCCGGCAATGTTCGAAGGATTAGTTCGTCAGGTGCTTCTGGGTTACCTAGGCCGATATGTCAAAGATATCCAGAAAGAGCAGCTGAAGATCACTCTTTGGAATGGTACGTCAGATTTTCTAGTGTTCGTCTGGTTATTATTTTATTTTCTCTGAGCTGTTAATAATCTTCTTGAAGTTGATTTTGTCGTATAATTAGCGACTAAATGTCTATTAACGTCTGTATGTGAAGATGCACCCACATGAGAACCGACTGTTTGGACGCACTGAGCTTGCAATTATTTATGTTTGGGATACTTTTGTTGCAGTGATATTCCCTTACGACTTTGATAGTTTTTATCACGACTGTGGTTTTCGGGACATTCATATATATTCGTTTGGTGCTCAGTTCACTTTTTAATTTCTTAAGAGGTCCGCAGTTTCTTCTTTAATCAACAGGCTGATGTTTCCTAGCGCTTGAGAGGATTTGTTTCCACATTTGATTTGGAGAGTTTGCCATATTTTATGCCTTATAATCTATAAACATGTGTTCTAGTAATTTTAAGCGTGATGGCTTCTAACTCTCTGTGTGTGTGTGTGTGTGTGTGTGTGTGTGTGGATATTAGCACTTTTAAATGAAGGGTGTTTTTGAACTGATGCTGGGGTTAATTATGTATTGTCACAAAGAGGAAGTATTACTGGAGAATGTGGAGCTGATACTTGAAGCGTTTGATTATCTCCAACTGCCATTTGCTCTGAAGCAAGGTACTGGAACTGCGTCCTTAAAAACGTGACAATTTCTGATGAATGGTTTTCTAATAATGGTGGCTGGCAGCTTGTGCATAGAAGCTTGTATTTACTCATTCCTAACGAAAATTGAAAATTATGGCCAGGTCGAGTTGGGAGGTTAAGCATCAAAATTCCATGGAAAAAGCTTGGCTGGGATCCCATTATAATAGTATTAGAGGATGTCTTCATTTCTGCATCCCAACGAGGGGATCAAGAGGTATTTCTTGGATCTACTACTACTACATCTAACCTTGATTCTTCTGGATTTATATTTGGTTTTATCAGCATGCTTTTCTTCTTCTGGGATGGTATTCTACCTTTTTCTTGTATGATTCTCTTTGTGTTAAATGTCTTTTCCCGTATGAGACAATTAAAAAAGAAAGCCCACTTACTCAGGCATATCATTTGAGACAAAGCTCTTTTTATCAAGTACATTGTTATACCATTTATTTGCAATTTGAGTTTCCTCTGTGTTAGTGGAGCGAGTATGCTGTTGAAAAGAGAGAGTTTGCAGCGAAAAAGGCCAAACTTGCAGCAGCTGAGTTGGGAAAACTGTCCAGGCGTGTGTGTGGTAAGTCGTTTTTTCCCCTTGTTTTGATAGGGAAAGGAATTCATTAAGGAATTACAAAGTTAGAAAATAAGAGAAGGCGTCCTCCAAAAGAAACATAGAAGGAAAAGAGAAGTACAGGAGTCATTGAAATAACTACAATTTCCGAAACATTGAAAAGCAGCTGAGTCTATATATCTGAGCAATGCCATTCCTAGTCAAATTTGTGGATGTGATGACTAAGTCACTTACATAGGTCAAGTTTGAAGAGCTTAGTGGCAAGCTGGGAATAATCAATATCTATTTTTCCAGCTTGAAGGATAGTGTTGGCTGTGGGCTTCACTCTTATAGGCCCATTATCCCATTAACCTAGTTTCTTGTTTATTTTTATTATCTTTGATGTACCTTTTAGATTTATTTTCATATCTCATCATATCTTGTCTATCATGATTCTTAGGAGGAAATTAGGTTATCTTTTTATCGGGAATTAATCCTCCATAGACTATATGTATTGGCGCTTATATCAATGAAAATTAAGATTTTGCACCGCAGCTCAAATGCTTTTAGTTTGCATAGTCTTCGTATCATCATGTGCTTAGATGTATTACAGGGTTGTGCTCTTAAGTAGAAGTAATATATTCTGTTCGACTTCTGTTCTTTAATTGGTGACTTTGCAATTTGTTCTGGAAGCAATTGTTAGGGTCCTAATACGCTGCTACCAAAAAATAGCCTTAGTAGTGCCATTTCTTAACTTTTGCTTTGTAAAGAAAAAGTATGATATCGTTAGCTATCATAGCCTTTTCTCTGACTGAAATGTTTTTAGCATGAAACTTAAAAAAGTTTGAACCTTTATTTCGAATATGTCACCTTTTGTTGAGAGTGAACTGGCATTTAATAGGATCCATGATCATACTAGCTATACAAAATTAGAAAAACATAGAGCAAAAGAGCCTTAAAAACTGAAATATATGCTGTCAATTCACCCAACATATCTGAAAGGGACATTCCTTTTGAACAATACTGAAGTATTAATGGGGGATTGATTAAAGGTCTTATCACTGATTCTGAGGGAGCGGTGGTTCCTCAATTGCAGGTAGTCATGCTGGTCAGTCCTTCATTTCTTACATCACTGCAAAGGTATGATTTCTTTGTCCTTTTATCAATGTCATCGTTGCTGAGGATGATTTTTTTTTTGGATCTCAATCTAACTTTATTCCTTATTAATAGTAAAAATGAAACTTTTTTAGTCTTGGGTAAGATTGTTGTTTTGGTTGCGATATTCAGTAAATATGGGTTCTTCATACACCAAAGACGAACACTATATCGCAAACTTAGTTTACTTTCTTCCATTCTTCATTTGTTTGTGCCTTATCTTGTTCTGCGTGTGATAATACAGCATTATGTGTGCTCTTTTATTTTTCTTCTAGATTCTTGACAGCATCCAAGTGGCCATAAGAAACTTCCATGTTTTATACAGTGATACACAGAATGATCAAGTAAGTTTATCTTTTCTGTCATCATTTTTTTCCTTCAATTAACCTTGGGTTCTTTATGCTGCATTAAAGTCTACCATTTCTAGGGATTTTTTTTTTGTTTGTCAATAATGTATCCTGAATGTTTGCTTACCCTTACTATAATCTTACAGGGAAATATTTCGATTGGTTTAAAGTTTTCCAGTTTGACCATTACGAAGCAACAACTCCTCACTGGGTAGTGTTCTCGCTTACATCTTAGTTTTAATTGTAATTGAATAACAACTTGTATTTTATCTTAGAGAGATTGATTGTTACTAGTGGTAGCATTGTCTTTGCTTAAGTTTATTAGACAACCTGAAAATATGTTTTTTTTGGCCCATTGATGAGAGAATATTGACCATTTTTCCTTATGAAGGAGGGAGGAGGCTGACAGGCTGAAAATAAATAGAAAATGTAGAGCCAAATGGACATGTAGGGCAAAGCTCGATTATGAAGCACTTGATCTCCATTGGAGTTTGAAGTGCAGTTATATTTAGTGTATTTTGTTAGAATGGTTCCTTTCCTAGTCCAAGTTTTATCATTACCACAGAAAAGAACATTAATGGATCTAGACTGGAGCGGTTGTTTTAGTAAAATTTGTTTGAAGGCAGAACACGATATATCTGAGATGTTAACGAATTAGTCGGCTGTGATTTGATGTGGTCTTTCTTCAATATTGCAGATTGTCAAGTGGAAGGGGGAGAGTCGGCCAAGTGAATAAAACTATAGAGATTAGAGGACTGGAGTTTTATTCCAGTATGTTTCATGAGACATTGGACTTGGTGGCTTTGGGCAATGTGGGGAATTCCACATCACAAAGCAATATTAAATCTGAAGGCCAAAGTTACAAGTCTATATTGGCACCGTGTGATGTAACCTTCATGTTTTCGGTATAAACATCTTAGCTGAGAATCATATTTTCCATATTAGTCATTACATCTTCTGTCCTTTGTCTTAATTATGACTAGTATATCTTGTAGACCAGTAGTCTATAGGTGTATCTTCCAAACATTCTTATTCTTAGGCACTGTTCTGGGTTCTTTTCACACATTTCTGGGACTGGTTGCTGTACTGTGAACTGATATTAAATTCAAGGCCGTTTGGGTAGTTTCTGTGGGTGTAGTGGTCAGATGTGCGGGTTCACTGGTGCATGAGAGCTGATAGTCATTATGCTTACCCAAAAAATATCCATTCATTATCCATACCCTCCCCTTGGATGGGCATTTTGGAATATATGGTTGGTTATCATAAATTATTGCATTCACTGTGACAAAAAATTTTCTTAAGGCAGATGGCTAGCAACAATACCCAATTTGAGTCGGGGAACACCCAGGAAAATAACACTTTATTGCACCAGGATCTAATTTTCCTCTATTACCAATTTGAACAAAGGCTGGATCAAAACCTTTGATGGTCATTAAAGGATTTGAGAAGGTTTTAAGTAGTGTTTGTAATGGGATGATGAAATTCGAGTGTGTGGCAGTAAGTTTGGCTTATCCCTGTGGGGGGTTAGGGACATTGTGTTGTGTAATAAAGGGAAGGGAATGAATTAGTTAGGTGGCTGAATGGGTTTGTCAGGAAGAAGAGGCTGTTATGAATGTTGATAAGCCAAATCCTGTATAAGGTGTGAGGCTTGTAAATGATGAGGTATATTGAAATATTGAATAAAGCAAATGGATGGAGTAATTGTGCTATACCACAGAGAACCGCATGAGCAGATAATTCAGTTATTTTAATCAGTTCTTTTGGACAGTCAACTACAGTGAGAAGCATGTCCCATAGTCCTTTGAAACTGATATAAATTATGTATTTATTCATTGATGGTAGTTTGCACCTTCTCATGTACTTTGGGGAGGGCTTTGATGACTTCCTTGTGGATTGATGCGAATTGATTTCTCAGGGGTGTCCATTTTTGATTTACAAAGGGATCGAAGTTCTTTGTTCCCAAAAAGTCTTTCCAGTTTCTTTCTTTTGACTTAGGAGGATGATCTGTCCTCTGTTTTTCATATTGTTATCTCTTCTCAATAAACTTCTTCTTAAATTTATTATTAAAAGGATTGGCTCTTTCGAGTTAAATTTTCTTTTTTGCTTTTCTCATTTCAGGGTTTTTTTGGTTCTATTGTGTGGTGCATTTTTCATTTACTTACAATCTTCTTATATATATATATATATATATTTTGGAAAAAAGAAATGGAAAATTTTAGACCTTTTTGTTGTATAGGTTCATTATGTTGCCCTTACTGCTTACTCTTTGCTAATTTTGGGTATGAATTATCATTTTACTGGATAATTACCTGATCATTAATTGCAATTGAAACTTTGATCGCCTTTTCTTTTTAATTGATTTTTCTCCTCTAGGCTAACAGATCTGAAAAGCTTGATGACAGTGCTCCTCAGTATTCTGTTACTGCTGAATTGACTGGTTTGGTTTGTACACTTTCTGAAGGCATTTGTTAATTTTGATTGTGTTATTATTTTTCTCTCCTACATACCCTGATAATATGTTTCGTGTTTATCAGGATGTCTCTTTAGATGAGGCTCAGCTACACCAGATGTTTATTGTGTGGGATTATGTATGCACTTGTCGATTAAGAGAACGGTGTGTCTCACACTGTAACTGTTGTATTGTAACTGATGTCTTTATATACTACCATTGAGTAGATAGTTGTCTGATCATTTATAAATTGCATTTTACTACAAGGAAATGGGTCCATTTGCATGAACATCCACAGTAATATAGACTGATGATATAAGCCCAGTAATTACTATCATTATTGTATCTAGAATAATCTAGTATTTTGTTCTCTTTTGATGCATTCCCCCCTTTAAAACATATGTTTTATATTTATTTGATAGGATATGTTATATGTAGGTATGGTCGTTATCGGCCTTGGCATAGCCCTTTATCGAGGAGAATTCAGGGCTGGCCATTATTATGGTGGCGCTATGCACAGGAATCTGTCCTCTCAGATGTTCGCAAGAAATTAAAGAAAAACTCATGGAGATACCTTGGGGAGCGATTGTAAGTCTTTGGAAAGATTACCCTTTCTATAAATAATTGATAATTTATAATGCTGGATTTTGAGGTTTTGGTTGTCCCGTGAATTTCAATCCAACAAGTTACACATGCACAAATTAAGGATGCTGCTGCATTATTTTCTAGACTGAATTACTTCTGAAAGCTGAGTATTCACCGTGAACACCATATAAAGTGTGTTTGTTGTTGGAAGAAAATTAAAGGCTAAAATAAGATTCACCCTTGCCATAGGGAATATCAAACCTTTGATAAATGTGATATCTTTCGAGGTTTTGCCATGTGAAATCTATTTTACATTCATGACACTTTCATTGCTTGATGATATCCTTGTTTTTATAATATAGAAGCTATCGTCGGAGGTACATTGACTTATACAAGACCAAGCTGGATTTTCTTAGACAAGAACAGGTGATTGTTGTTTTTCTTTCGACAGACATTTTCATTTATGCATTTCTATCTATGTAATATAAAATTCTTTATTGTTGGGTTTCAATGAGGATCTTTTGGAGTTTGTGTTTTGGATTGTTAGTTTCGTATAATCTTGTTTATTATTTCAAATGTGATGCTATTAGAAATTCAATTTTGCTGATGTCTTATTATTATTATTATTTAGGGCAGTAATTTTTTTAATTGCAAAGTTGCATTTTTTAAATTTGTTTTTATTAGCCAGTTGATGATGAGGTTCTTCAAGAACTGGAGCAAATGGAGAAAGAATCAGATGTAGATGACATTTTGAATTATCGGGCTGGTGCAGAATATGAGATGCAGGTACTTGGCTCTTCATTTAATTGGCTTATACGGGTAAAGTTTACTCTATTACAATGCTGTATTAGAGTATGGTAAACTCTGGTTCTTAAAGCTTGTCATGCGTGTTTGCTGACAGGAATTCTTTTTGAGGTGTTCTAAACCTGACATCGGCGTGAATGGTGTTGATATACCTGCAGAAAAGTCTTCCAATGATGAACGCAACTCTGGCAAATCACGGGGATGGCTGAATTGGCTATCTCGAGGTATGCTTGGTGCTGGAGGAACTGATGATTCTAGTCAGTTTTCTGGGATTGTTTCTGATGATGTTATTAAGGTACTGGTGCCCATTTATAAAGTAAAGCACATTTCATGTCCTTCTAGGTTTGGTGTATTTACAATAGTCATTTTATAAGGAAATTCGTTTCTATTCTCTTTCTGTGGAAAAACTACTGCCCCCCTTTCCTTTTCTATTACTCATGGAGGCATATTGTGCTGTTTATATTTTTTTTATTGAATACAAAGCAACAATTTTAGGCTCGATGAAATGATAATAGGCAGATAATATAGAACTTATAAACTGGAAAGAAGATAGATGGTTGAATTTGTAAAAGCATGTGTACTCTTACTGTTGTTTTATGGGCAAAGAATAAAAATTGGCACAATGGGTAAGAGTAGAGGAGAACATACTAGACTAGAAATTTTCTGAGGAAATGGCTGAGTGGACGGAAGATGTAAAGTGTGTGCATATCCTTTCATATTGCATTTGCCTTATTTACAAGGGATAAAGAAAGAGTAGTCCAGTGGGTAGTTCAAAAATTAGTGCAATAAACCTGGATGCTAATATGTACAACTCTTTGATTCAATTGAACAAACGAAACGAATACTAAATTCTCATGACCTGAGCAATTAATCAGCGTGCCTTGGCACCTAGACAGCTGTTGATTGGTTTTGCTTGGGGTTATTAATATTTTCATGTTTCATGATGTGTCAAAAGGCAGAGGAAGGTGAATATGATATTTTTTCGAATGTTATTTTTTAATCTGCATGAAATATAATTTTAATTTTAGCTCATTCGTATTTGATTCTGAACAAGTTGTTGATATTGATCATTGCATCTACTCCTTTCAGAGCATTAACAAGCGTCAATGAAACCTTTATTCTATTAATCTTCTAGCGATAAAGATGATATTACTCATATTTTTTGTTAAATCTTATGGATGTTCATGTTAATTTGCTGTGTATCGGCAATGGCATTATGTAAAGATGCTGGCTTCTGTCACTTTGCAGATATATATGAGGCAACTGAATTTCATCCTTCGGTTTCATCCAATGGAGATGTTATGCAAAAAGTGAATTATGCCTCTGCGAAATGAAGTTTGTGATTAATCAAATTTCAGTGACTCTATGTAGCAAGTACTGTGCCATGTTCTCTGCTCTCTTCATCTCATAGATGTTTGATTCTGTTTGATATTTCTGAGGCATGCTAATTTTTGTTATGATCTTGATACCTTCATCATAATATGTTTTATAAACATCTCATCTTCAGTTTGCAAATTCTGACGTTCATGCTTATTTTAATGATGTAATAATGGTTGAGCGTTGCTTTATTTGAGCATAGTTTTGGGTGTAGATACTAAGCTTAGAGTTAGCTGAATTCTTACCAATGAAAAGGTGAAAATCACAGCAGATGGAAAGTTGAAGAGAGATGATGGAAATGTAGCATTGAAAAAGTTGGATAGCTTGATGAACTTCATGGTTTTGGGGCTTGAACGTCTGATAAAGAGACTACACTCACTCAAAATATGTGTTGAAGATAGAACTGAACAAATGACAAAAAGTTTCTTTCAGGTTTTAGAATAATTCAAAAACGGGGGAAATATTGTGATGCTACCATGATCCAATGCCCGTACACATAGGATAAGGCTAGATATGTGTCCCAAAATTATTCAGTATTTTGGTTCATAATTTGTAAATTTGGATTTGACAAGGTAGGATATGGCTTATATCCTACAGCCAGTGTGCCACATGAAAGGCACGGGAGACAAAGCCACCACTAACAGTAGCTGTATTTCAAGTGCCAATTCTGCTGGATAGTTGTTAGTGGCATCTGGCAAATAAATAGATA